CTCATGTCGTTCGACACATTCGCTTCTTTCCAAAATGAATTTTTGGTTACCCTATTTCCACTTCTTTCATATACCATTTTTCAGACAGGATGGATTTGCATTAGACGAAGCTGATATCGTTAATCACGAGGAATAGAATCGATAACCGTCGTCGTTGCTTCGTATATGTCTGCCATCTAATTCTTCCGTTGCGGTCGATGTCAAAGTTTGGTAGCTTCATTTATTAACTGTTGATATTCAGACTTTAGTGTTAATTGCTTCAGTGACGGTTCGTTCATTGGTTGCTTCCTGTTCATATGAGATATATATGGTTAACGATTTTGCTTATGTTGGCAACGTTTCAATTTGTAGATTATTAACAATACATCATTTCATTGTTAACAGTATGATCCAATATCACAGTTGTCTATTAATGTTGTTTGTTCATATTATTGATGTTCTGATATCACTAATAAATTATTTTATAAATGAACATTTTGTTGATTATGATAACTGTTAACATCACACAAAATGGAATAGGTACTAAATCGTATAGTTAAAACTGATATCATAATTGTTAAAAATAACTTTGTTGTTGTTAAAAATACATGTTCATTCGATAAATGGTTCTATGGTTGGGATTTTGTTGAGTTTTTTATGTCTGGATTTTGTATCGTAATCCAAATCATATTAAACCGTTAGATTAATCTAAATGCCAAAATTAGGCTGAAGTAAATTATAACCAACGATTAGTACCATATATATTATGGAAGCGAAAATTATATTGGAATCTTCAAGATTGGGAATTTTATTAGAATAATGATAACTTACTTTTTCATTCATGTGTAGCTTGGTTTGATAATTGGATTTATGGAAACACACCATCTTTTTGTTGTTTGATAGGTGAAAATAGAGAAGATCAGGCGTGGAGACGAATTATGAAGCTTCAGCCAACTGTGTAGTCATTTATGAGGAAGCAGGGTGATGAAGGCTTTTGGAATGGGAAATTGATGCACAACTACTCAGTGAGCGCAGTCTAGGATATGATACGTCCTGTGAAGAGCAAACAACACTGGTATGCTCTTCTCTAGAGTAAATTCTATGTGTCACGTTGGAGTATCATAGCATGGATTGTGGCCATGGATGCGATAGTAACCAAGGTAAAGTTGATGCGGTGGGGTAAATTAAATGAAGACAGATGCATTTTATGCCATGCCAATAGTGAGACATGAGATCATTTGTTTTTCGAATGTTGTTTCTGAAGGAGTATTGTTAGCAGAGTTGGCAATTTTTTCAGTAGCAGCTCTTGGGATCTCCGACTCTCATATGCAGGTATAGGTGTCAAAACATAGCCCGACCCGATTAACCCGCCCGATCAACCCGACCCGTAACCCGACCGCAACCCGAATTGGCTAAAAGTCAACAACCCGTAACCCGCAACCCGATTGACCCGCAGCCCAACTAACCCGCAACCCGACTGACCCGCAACCCGATTAACCCAAACCCGATTGACCCGCAACCCGACTGACCCGCACCCCGATTAACCCGAACCCGATTGACCCGAACCCGACTAACCCGTAACCCGACCGAATCAACCCGAACTTCATCTAATCCACTTGAATAATTATTATAATATACAATACATAGTTATTCAAAATAAAGTTTTTCATTCTAAACTTAGGTAAAATTATTTTTTCATTTCGTATAGGAAATTTAAAAAAATATGAAACTCACTTGGTATTATGTATTTTAAGAAAATTATAGTGACTGTAGTAGTATCTTCGCCAGTTGATAGTATCCTACAACATTTTCTGTCATGAAAAATAAATTAGAACAAAAAAAGAATACTTAGATAACAAACAACAGTAACCATACTAATCTATAAAGGTTTCAGCACCTCCAGAGTTCAGCTTAAGAGACGATTCATATTACTTTAATAGGAAAACTAACTGATATTAGAGAAGTCATTCATCAGATGAGAGAAGAGAGAGGGGAGAGTGGGTTTGTCTTTTTCTAGACTTTCTACATCTATACTTCAAATTTTTCTTGGTAAAGCAAATGGAGGGAAAGCCAAAATTTTAGGATTGTTGGAGCCATTTTTCGGAGCCAAAATTTTTGGATTGTAGGAGACCAAATTTTTGGATTGTGTAGCGGGAAAAAATAGTGGGACAGCATCATTGCTCCACACGAATGTTCAGATAAAATCGTAGGAGTCCCAATTTATTAATTTAAAAATAACTGTAAATTTATAACAAAAAAAAACAATAACTATAAACTTTGAGACGAGCTGTGGAAATTTTTGGAGTCTCGATTCTTTAGTTGTCTCATTTAAAAGGGAGAAAAAATTGTATTGATTCTAAAACTCCCTGTTTAGAATAATGAGGGAGCAAAATTTATTACTTTGCAATTTGAAATTCATTTTTTAAATAATTTTACTTGATTTTCACCTAAAATTTACAAAGCTAAATGTGCACATTATTCACGATAATTAACCATGACTAACAACTAATCACGGGAAATGAAAAGTAAAAAATTTAAATTAACTCCCGTGATTAGAAGTACACAATTAATTACTGGACTTTTTCCTGTGTCTATTAGTATACATTTTAGTACGGAAAAATTTCCCGTGAATAAGATCCCGTGACTAGAAATATGTTTTCCTGTAGTGATGGTTAGGGTATAACAATTAGCAAATATCACTTTTTATCTATGTTTTGAAAATCAAAGTATGAATTTCACTTTTAACTATACTAGCAAAATCACAACTCAAGGACATATGGTTAGAGTATAGGGTATGTGGTTAGTGTATAATGTATTGATGATTTAGGGTATACAATCAACAACATATACTAACTTAATATTGTTGATTGAGGGTAAGACTAAGTGTATAGGATATATGTTATGAGTAAGTTATGATTGAAGTCACAATAATTTTACTAAGTTTGATAGTTAATCTTTAATGGTTCAATTTTAAGGATAATTCGAACAATTTTACACATAATTTGTTTGACAACAGTTTACCGAAGTTATTTGGGCAATGATTTATTTCGAAATAACTCATTTTATCACTCTGCTTTTGCCAAATACTACACGCCAAATACCATATTTGCATGGTTATACTAAACAAGATACTTTCATCCAATTACTACTGAATAAATACTATAATATCAAATAAACAATTAATGGTGTCTTTTGGTTGCAAATATTGATATCACCATTACTATTAGCTAGTGTACTTTATCAATTATGATTAATTGCATAACAAGTTTGCAAGTCATACAAATTGATTTAACATTTTGACCAATTTTTTTCTAAAAAAAATTAAGTATATATATATATATATACGAGGTAGAAATAAATTGGTTAAAAAGTTGAGAAAATATTTTAAATTAGTGTAATAAAATGTGTAAGTTGGTAACGAGTAATGAGTAAGTTACTCGATGCGCTGGCCTGAACAACCCGAGACCCGATCCGCCCGCAACCCGCCCGACCCAAAACCCGATGAACCCGCAACCCGATTTGCCCGCAACCCGATTGAACCCGAACCCGCAACCCGACTAACCTGCAACCCGTTTGAACCCGAACCCGATGAACCCCAACCCGATGAACCCGCAACCCGACTAACCCGCAACCCGTTAAAACCTGAACCCGATTGAACCCAGCCCGAACCCGCCCGATTGACACCTATATATGCAGGTGTGGTTGCAAAGCGAAACACGGCTCCGGGGAGACTTATTGGACCTCTATGGTGCTCCTTGATCAGCTTTGTCTGGCAGGAAAGGTGTCAAAATCTCCATGGAGAGGTCCTAAGAACGACCTAGTTGGTGGCAGAGTTATGGATGCGGATTTCCGCTTCTTTGTTTTCTCTTATCCAGGTTTAGAGGTTGGGAGAGTTTGCATCCCTCCAGCAGCATTACAATAAAAGAAAAAATAAATTAGAAACTAAATATAACCCAACGAATTTAAAGCCTAGCGGAAACGCTAAAATTTGCGACAGATTTAAAGCCCAACATAAATGTTTAAACGAAGTATTCCAATTAAAGTGTGGTAAATGACATTTTTTCCTTCCAAAAATCACTCTGGTTGCTGGATATTTGAAATTGAGAAAATGTAACTGATGAATCTTCTTCATTATTTTATAGATTGGAGGATAGTCTAGAACTAAAACAATCAAATATGAAAATTGAAGTATCAAACACCATAAAGATACTTACAGGAGACTTAGTGACCTAGCTTATCATTATACAAAAGTCATCAGTTTTTTAGATTTTAACTTCGTGTATATTTTGTAATAAAAAGTATACAATGTATTTGTTTAGTGTAATTGGTTATGTTTCTTATATCTCTTTAAAGAGACCATGGTTCAAATCTTGGTGCTGATATATTTTTATACGAAACAAATAACTAATTGCGAAGACAAAAATATCTTTCATACTTTCACTCTGGTTGCTCGAATTTTGAAAAGGAGAAAATTCAACCCATAAATCTGCTTTATATGTAGTATAGATAGAAGTGGAATCCCCAAAAACTAACAAAGAACTAAGAACCATTGCTTAACCAAACTAGTGTACAATTATCCCTACTAAATATGTTTATCTCGCCACAGCGCACTAACAAAATAGTTAGTAAAATATGATTTGATTAAGTTGCATATAAAATATATACGAGTACTTATCTCACCAGTGCACCAACAAAATAGTTAGTAAAATACGATTCGATTAAGTTGCATATAAAATATATACGAGTATTTAATTTTATCTCTTAACTAATGTTACGTTTATAGTACGTTAATAGTCATAAAGTACATGAAATGAATTATTTTAGAAGTAAATAAATAATATTCGAACTAGCAATTAGTTTATAAATATTAATGTTATAAGGGTTTAATACGTGTTTAGTACATGTACCATAAAATGGACGAGGAAAAATAAACGTTTTGAAAATAACACAAAAAATAAAAATTTAAACCCATAAAATATGTGTGTCTATATATACACATATTAAACGAAATATTTACTAACTGTGCCAAGAAAATTCACCCACTTCTAGAGAGAGAGAGAGAGAGAGAGAGAGAGAGAAAGGCGCAAATACTTATCCTAAGAAGAAGGGGAGAGAGAGTCGACCAAAAGAGACAAAAATAAGAGGAAATGAGAAGAGAAGAGGCAAAGACGGAGCGAAAAGAGAAAGAAATGGCAACCAAGTTTGTAAACACAGAAGAAGAGAGAGAGAAGGAAAGGAGAGATCGAGGATTGACATGGCCAGACTAGGGAAGGAAACACCGTGATGATGTTGTTTGTTTGCTAGTTTTTTTTTTAAGAGAAAGGAAAAACGGAGGAGAAGAGGAAATGACGGATCATGAGATATCTCAAGCCTTGCACTCTCTCCTCCACTCTTCCTCATCTCAATCATCTCGCCTTGATTCCCCGTTGCCTCCATTTACCTCCCTCTCCTCCATAGTCGGCGACCTCGAGCTCAAGCTTGGAATCGGTCTAGCCCACAAAACAGACTTCATTCGCGCTCAAATCCAACAATATCTTCTTTTCCAACCTCCACCTCCACCGCCTCATCTTCAATCGCAACAATATCAACCACCGCTCTACCTCCAACACCAGGACCAGCCTCATTCATATCAGTACCACCTTCATCAACAGCACCAACCATTTCAACACCAACACCCGCAGATACATACACACCAACCATTATCGTCGATTCCGCCTAAAGAACATTATGCCTTCCAGCAAACTCCCCATTTCCATTCGGGTATTGCTTCCCCAAATCTGTTCTCCTCTTCTTTTCCTGGAGGCTTGTCCTTCCACTCCATCCCTGCTCATTCGGTCAAGCCCGATAACACCACCACCACCATCGACCCTTCCAAGGCGAGGTTGGTTAGCCTTCTCTGATTACTTTATCCATGGAGGTAGGATGGCTACGAGTTTGGATGGGATCGGTTTTCTCACACACCACCTCTCAACCACACTTTTAAAATCGTAACCATTCAAATAACTAGAACTATGCGGGAATGAAATATGGCATATTCCAAAACCAACTCGTATGTCGTTCGAGAAAAACTCACTTGCACCATCAATGAACAATCATATATGAAGTTCTAATTTAATCTAATTTTTTTTCTTAGAATGTTAATATTAATTGAAGTTTCTTTGTCTCATTGTTTGTAAAACTGAGAGAAGATTATAAAAAATTGTGTAGAATATACTATTAACACATATTCTGCTAGGTTTGGTAATAATACTTAAAATATAAAAATCGCACCAAATTCATTACTTACCTTGTCGGGTTATGGGAAAATCCATCCAAAGATGATATGATAAAAAATTTCTCGATATATCAATTCAAATTTGATTGGATATTCGCGATGATGATGTATTATTTTGCCATTCCCGTGTGGAAGTCGAACGATCTATTGGTTTTTTTATGGTGGGCTAGTGATCTCATTCTTTTTTTCCGTTCTTACTATTAGTGGGTCGAGTAAAGCAAAAAGGAGAGGCGGGGCCGGAGGTCTGAACAAGCTCTGTGGCGTTTCACCGGAGCTTGAGGCTGTTGTTGGCCACCCAGCTCTTCCGAGAACAGAGGTTATCGCCTTCCTCCTGTAACCCTAAGTTTTTGAACTTTTTGTAAGAAGAATTATGTAAATAACAAATTCCATCCATGGAATGACATTTTTGTAGATTGTGAAGCAGTTGTGGGCATACATCAGGAAGAACAACCTCCAGGATCCGAGCAATAAGAGGAAAATAATTTGCGACGACGCTCTGCGTGTGGTGTTTGAGACGGACTGTACTGACATGTTCAAGATGAACAAGTTGTTGTCTAAGCACATCACACATCTCGACCCTAATAGTAAGTTTGCTCTCTTGTGGCTTCTTTCATTTTCCCCCTTGGATGCTTTATTTAGTGTGAAAACCAACTGGTGGCAATAACTTGAGTTGTTGGAAGATGTACATGTATAGATCTTAGTCACTTCTTCATACGATCCCTCAGACTAAAACCAACTTACGAACTTGATGTTTGCATAAGCCCGTTATCAGTGACGAAACCATAAATTCGACTGATGAGGGGGTAATTTGAATTTTCGTAAATGCGGAGTGGGTGTTAAAGGCCTACTGACTATTTTTATTCCTAAATTTTTGCAAAATTTATATGTAATTTTACCTATATTTCAAAATTGAGGAGGACTATAGCACCTCCTAACTTCAACCTAGCTCCACCATTGCCCTCCATACCATGGCTTTAAGATAACGATTAACATTGAGGGTTGTGACTTGTGAGGAATTGAATATGTGACCTCAAGAACAAATCAACTTTGATAACATGTCATAACTATTTGTCTCAATAACTCGACTTGTTATGAGAGTTCCATGCATGAATCTTAACTACTTCCTTATATTTAGTGCTGACTGTTTTGGAGTGGGATTGTTTCTCAGAGGAGCCCAGTTCTAAGAAACAGAAGGTGGCCAGCGAAGAGAAAAAGTCTTCTTGTGTGACGCAAATCATTGTGTCTGCAGCTCAATCGTCTTCTCCCTCTCCAGCTCCATCTCTAGCTGCTTCTCCAGCTCAAGGTCCAACTCCTCATTTTGTCGGGATATCAGAAGAGTTGGCCAACTTCTTTGGTGTTGAGGTGAGGGAGATGCCCCAATCCGAAGTTTTGAATCGCGTGTTAGAATACATCAATTCCAACAATCTAAAGGTAATAAAAAGTTATTTTGTCGTTATTAAATATGATTCGAGTTTGCTTTTTTTGTTAAAACAAGTGATCATACTTTTTTCTTTTTAGGACCCCGTTAATCCCGGAGTGATAGTATGTGACATGAAGCTTCAAGAGCTCTTTGGCTGTCATAGTTTCCCAGTTGAGAAGATCATGGACATCCTATCCTGCCAACACACATTTAGGGCTTGAGTTTCTGCAAATGATGGGTTGCTTGTTGCCAAAGTAAAGGGTTGGTCGTATAAATAGTAATATGATTAAATAGTATTCTCTCCCCCCTCTTTTGTTTCTTACTTGCTTAACAATGTTGATTGATTGCTAACCTTTTTGTGGATATAGTTGGTTGTTTATTCATCCCTTTGAACAAATAGTAGGTTGAAAATCCATCCATGTATGATGGCAAAGTTGAAAGGATGAAGCCTTTTCTCTTAGTGTTGTTATCATTTGGTTTCTCTCATCATGACAAGCCATTTGCAGGCATACGATTTATGTATTTAAGTAGATAGTTCTTGGTCTTATTTTGGTATTGTATAGTTCTTGGTCTTATTAGAGCATTTTTTAGGGGCTTCTTGATTTTTTTGTAAAAACTAATGCAGTGAAAATCTCAGCAAAACAATGATTCAATGTTGTGTAATCGGCATTTGCCCTGTTGGAAATGAGGTAGACCCAAATTGGTTAAATTAAAGGAGCATAAGTTAATAAGGAATTATTGTTCCTTTACTTTGGAATAACCAATGTTCAATTCCATTAATCTATCCACTTGATGCATTGGTTTAATTGGAACGTTTGGATCTTGGAGTGGAAGTAAGTTTCAAGATGTAAAAAACACATCCTTTCCAACTCCAATTGGGGACGGGATACAGTGACAACCCCTAAGGGGGTTGTCAGATTGACAACCAAGGGTATTTAGGGTATGAAAAAAGGAATATATTAATTACTTTTTTTGTATTAATCAGTTTGGGAATTAAAAACCCATATTAAATACAATTTTTTTTAAATTTAAATCCTATACATTAATATATCTATCTATCTATCTCTCTTCCTTTCTCCTGCTGCCACTCCGCTTCGATGGGCAGACTTTTTCTCCGGTGAATTCTCTACGGCAGACTCCCTCCGGCAAATCTGAAAAATGTACCAGTGCGTTAAAAAGTGTACCAATCCATTAGTCTACTGGTAATTAATATACCAGTGCTAGTGGTACGCTACTAGTGCGTTAAAAAATGTACCAGTGCTAGTGGTACGCTACCATTACCACTTGTAGCGGCACCATTAGCAGTACCATTGCCACTGGTAGCGTACCACTAGAGACTAGCACAAAAAAAAAATTCATATCTGAAATATGAAAAAATCACAGATCTGGAAAAAAAAATCAGGGATGACGAAAGGGGGAGGCAGGGGAGAGGCGGTGACCTCGTGGCGACGGTGGTGGTGGGAGACAGGGCGGCGGGAGGGTTGCGACGACGGTGGTGGTGGGAGGAGGAGGCCGCGATGGCTGCGGGGCGAGGGACGTGACAATGCTGGGAGGCGGAGGACGCGACGACGGGAGGGCTGCATTAGTGATGAGAGGCGGAGGGCGTGGCGGGTCGGCAGGACGGCTGCGACGACGGTGGTAGCAGCCGATAGAGAGAGAGAGAGGGAAGAGATTGGAGGAAGAAGAAGAATAGGAAGAAGAAAGATGGCGTGAGAGAGATGAAAGAGAGAATGTAGGGTTTTAGGTATTAATAGGGGTAATAATCTAGTGTGGTCAATTGTTTTCGTCCAAAAATACCCTTAATCCAATCTGTACCATTGATTTGAAAAAAAAGAAAAAAGAGACAAGAAAGAGAATGGATCCTATGGTTATAAAATGGGTTGTCAATCTCACAACTCCCTAATGAGGTTGTCACCGTATCTCATCCCCTCCAATTGCATTACTTAATGCAGTTAAACTAATGTAACAATTAAAGACTAATGGAAGTTATGGATACTACTTTAACTAACCAAAGTTTGTGATTTTTCAAAGTTGTCATTCATGCATTATAAAATCAGAGGCTCGGTCGATGGCAAAGGAGACAACACAAGAAAACATTTATTCTTCTTCTTTCATAAAATATTTCTTGGTGTACTTTACTATTCTTAAGTCTAGAATTTGAAGTGATGATTGTTTTATCTTACGAAGAATTTTTTTTGTAATCTAAGGCTTTGCAAAAGGGTGGAGATATTCTTTACGGAAAGTAAATGCAGTTCATGACTCTATCTTATTCTAGTCACCCAATCTCGGTCTATCGTACAAATACACCCTTGTAGTTTCTAAACCCAACATGCCCTTCTATCGTCCTTTATTTGGATTTTCGCCCAAACACCTTTGTTGCTTTGTCAATATAGTTGTGTGCTTTCCTATAGAATTGCATCAGATTAATGGGTGGGTGTACGAAAAAAGGTTTTTTTTTTTGCGAGTTACAACTCTCATACATGTCATATTAAATAGTTTAGAACACAAGTGACACTTTCTTAATAGTCCGGGTTTCCCATTGATATTAGCCCTAAAATATATTTCGTTGAACACTGTAGATACAAAATGTATTTGTGAACGATTGAACATAACGGTAGCTCTGATACCATGTGAACGATTGAATGTAGTGATTTGCATTGATCAGGAGAGTGATTTAAGTACCAACTCTTGAATAGATTGGAGCTACAAAGTAGGAGCCACTAAGCCACTAACTAAAACTAATGATGCGACTAACTAATACCAATACCGTTAAATAATAACAAAAAAATAAAATTATGTAAAGCCCTTATCAGTATTTTTACTGTTTATAAAAAAAATGTATTTCTACTATTTTTTAATATGAAAGCATGTTATGATGTTTTTTATTTTGTTGCAAGGTTGTCAACCCGCAGGTCGACCTCCCGACAAGAAAAATGGGCCGTACGCACCCGCTAGGTAGATCGCTACAAGGTATTGGGTTGGAGGGCAAATTGTGTCATTTTTTTCTTTTGTTTGTGAAATGCACCTATTTTCCGATTTTTCTTTTCGCCAAACTCAATCTTTGGAATCCTTAGTCGAACATTTGAATATTGATGTTATATAAGTGTGTGTGAATTTTCGCTATATGTTGGATCTAAGTACGATATGTTACTTTGGTGTAATGTTATATGTTATTACTCATATGTTAGATGAAATTTGATATAATTTATCATGATAAGTACAAATATAATGACTCTTTTCATATTTCCGGGCTGAAACGAGCTAAAACGATGACCAGTTAACCCATGACCCACTAGCTCGACCGGATCCGAGTCACCGCGGGTTGACAACCTTGTTTTGTTGTAACTTGGACTTATTGAATATTTTTTTTTCTAATTTCTAATTTAATTTTTGAAAAGAATATCCTAATTAAAATAGAGAGGTTATAATAAAAACTAAAAAGATTCCAAGTGGCAAACTAGGATTTGGTTTTCTGTTACGAGAATGACGACCGTACGTGACCCTAGCAACCAATCTAGAGAGAGAAAGAAAGAGGAGGGAGAAAAAGGACCAGGGGAAGGGGTCCAGGCCAAAGGCCAAGGCAAAGAAAGAGGTGAGAGAGAGGCAGGCAATCGAGAAGAGAAAGAAAGAGGAGAGTTGAGGAAAAACCTAGAGAGAGAAAGGGAGGGAGAGATCAGACAAGAAGTTGGGCGGGCGGCTAAAAGAGAAAAATAGAAAAGCAATGACGGACCAAGAGATATCCCAAGCTCTCCACTCCCTTCTCCACGACTACTCCACTTCCCAGTCCTCCCAATCCTCCGCCGGCGGCCCCGCTGCCCCTCTCACCTCCATGACCGCCGTCGTCAAGCACCTCGAATCCCGACTAGGCGTCGACCTCTCCCAGAAGGCCGAATTCATCCGATCCCAGCTTCAGCAGTTCCTCTTCCAGCCTTCTCACCCGCCTTTGCCGGCGGCGGCGCCGCTGCAGCACCACCAGCAGCAACCCTTTCCTCATCCGCCCACTTACAAAGACCGTTATGCCCCTCACCAAACCCCCAACTTCCTCCTCTCCCCCGGCTTTCCTCCTCACTCCGCCGCCGGTGCCGTCTTCTCTCCTGGCGTCACAGTGACCACTGCGGTCAAGCTGGACTCCCCTGCTGCCCTGGCTGGTTCCGCCCTCGATTCTCCCAAGGAGAGGTAAAGGGTTATTCCTGAATTTCTGTTTCTTGTTTCTTCCGTGCTTCGTTTTTTACTGAAATGGGAAATGTGATAATGATATCCCCTTTTTTCAAACCCTTTCCCCTGTTTCACTTTTAGCATCTCCATCCTGCTTGCAATGCATGCAGGGTCTAGGCCCTGTAATTGGGTTAATATTTGAATCAGTGAATGGGGAAGAAAGATTCCGCTTTGCTATGCCCAAGCAAATGATTGATTGTACAAGAGATTTCTTACTTTGGTGTTCTTCAGGTCTAACGAGGTATTGAAATGCTGCTAATCTTATTTGCAGTAATAAGGGTAAGAGGAAGGGCGGGGCAGGTGGTTTGAACAAGCTCTGTGGGGTCTCACCTGAACTTCAAGTTATAGTCGGTCATCCTTCTCTTCCCAGGACTGAGGTTCTTTTCTGAACCCTACTTTGCATCCTTTTCATTTGCATGACGACATAGCTGACCAAGGAGTCGTGACTGTTATGATTTCGGAATAAATGTGTCCAGATTGTTAAGCAGTTATGGGCATACATAAGAAAGCACAACCTCCAAGACCCGAGCAACAAAAGGAAGATTATCTGCGACGATGCACTGCGTGTGGTGTTTGAGACCGACTGTACTGATATGTTCAAGATGAACAAGTTGCTCTCTAAACATATCCTTCGTCTTGATCCCCCAAGTGCGTGATTGATTGATTGATTGCCGTGTGGAGGCTCTCTGTTTTGTGCGAGGGGTTTGTAGTGACATCAAGCTTTTGTTATTGTTGTTTTGATATTTCAGAAGAGGCCAGTGCGAAGAAGCAAAAGGTAGGGGATGAAGAACAGGAGTCTCAAGGTACACATGCTGCGCCTGTTCCTTCTGCAGGGATACCGGATGAAGAAAAGGAGCCTCAAGGCACACAGGCTCCTCCTGGACCTTCTGTGGGGATATCTGAAGAACTTGCAAACTTTTTTGGTGTTAGTGAGAGGGTGATGCTTCAGACAGAACTTTTTTCTCGCCTTTGGGCTTACATCAATGGAAACAGTTTGGAGGTAAACTTTGTGATGCATGCAGTCAAGTATGCGGTCTTGTCTTGTGTCTCCCTTGTTTTGTGGCTATGCCTTGTCTGCTAGACCCTTACACAGTAACTCGAGATCTTCAAAATGGTTGTTATTGGCCAATAAGCATGGCAGGGTGCCATTTGCGTAGATCCAGCTTCATACATTTGTGTTTTGCCTGTAGGATCCTCATAACTCAATGGTGATACAATGCGACACAAAGCTTCAGGAGCTTTTTGGTTGCGAAAGTCTCCCAGCCTCAAAGATCCCGGAAGTTCTGTCCCAGCATCATATATTTAGAACATGATTGCTGGGAACTGAAGGCAGGTTAGACTGGTTGCCCATATACTGTGTGCTTTTCTCCCTTTTTAGCTAATTCATATATGATCTGTAATGTAACAAAATGCAGCTTTATTCTTGATTTCTGTAGGCTATCATCGATGACGCACCTTATTACGACTCTGTGAATGTGGTAGAATGTCTCTCTGTGACTTTGCTTATTGCTCCAAACCCAAGTCTACTAATAAACGCGAATGTACTGTTGCTCGCGGGATGCAGTAATCTGAGGCGGAACCTCTTTAGATCAGATATAAGTTAAAACTGTTGGGGAGTCTACTAACTCCCTGAACAGTGCTAGATCCTAGCTGGGCAAGAAATGTAATTATTGGTATCTTGTCCCCTTGTAGTATATTGTTGGCTTGGTTTAGGTTTGTGCTGTTGTATTGCTATCTTGTATGTGGTAGGGAGTATGGGCAAAGGAATTAACCCTCCACTTCTGTAGAACAGATCATTACCATGTATATGTGACTGAGCTTCTGCTGTGTATCTATTGCTTAAGTTCATAGTTCAGCGCCTTGGACTGAGATTGCTAATCTAGAGTGTAACTGGACTGTAATGTTGTTATCCTTGAGTTTTCGGAGATCGTTCTTTTCAATTTTCAGTTTGTCCAGCCCTAAATGGATTTCATGGTTGGAGTTTTAAGAGAAGTTCGGTTCAAACATATGAACAAAACAAGAAGTTAGGCAATAGTTAGAACTTAGGGGTCGTTTGGAGAACAGATTCAGGACATGGATTCATTGAATCCGTAGATTTTATAGAAAGTTATGTTTTTTTGTTGATTTTTGTATTGTGGATTCTAGCTTTAAAGATTTCAAATCTTTAAAATCCGTGGATATCAAATCTCTCATAATCAGAGAGATTTTATATCTTGATTCGTGAGATTTTTTCTCTCCTAGTTTTTCTCTTTCTTTTATTTATTTATCACATGAAATATATTTATCAACAAAGTTTTTTTATATTTCTCTAACCACTCTAATTTTTTATTAAGGATAAACATGTAATTTAATATAAAATTAAATTTTTTATTTTACTTAAATGTTAACCATCACAGTTACCAAACAATAAACATTGGAAAATCTGTTTTCAACAATCCGAAGAGTTAGAATCTTTAGATTGTTGACAATCTATAGATTTAAACTCATATTCTCCAAACGACCCCTAGACACGAGAGAAAACTTTGTGAAGGTAATGTTCTACTTTTAGAGCTACATGTAAGTGTAAAGGTAATGTTGTGCTTTTTGAGCTACTTTTTGTCTAGACTTTGTCTTTAAACTGGATTTGGTCAAAAACTCGATTGAATCTGGTCAAAATTGGCAGGGTTTGACGGGTTGATTTAGCGATCGAGTAAGTTAAATCCACTCTCTATGTTTTCCTGTAAGGAGTACTTCTATATGTTTTTTGCATACTTTCGAGTTAATCTAAGCTAATTGAGTTAGTCTCAATTTGACCGGTCAAACATTGATTGAACCTGCTTCATCAAGTCAACGAAACAAATGAACAACATGCCATAAGAAACTTGAGTTTCGATGGGATTTGCATTACCCATAGAAACTTACTAGCTTATTACCCGGCCCCTTGGCCGGAGATAGCCCAAAAGAATTGGTCGCAGAACTGTTGCGAATATCTACACATCAGCTTGCGTCTTGAATGCGTCTTTGCTCGGCCCGTTGGTCTGTTGTGAAGTAATCATTATGAATAGATTTTGGTAATAATTAAGTAATGGTCAGTCATTTTGCATTTAAAAAATATTAGTATCGATACCCACAGTTACATCACGAAAGATTTAGAAGTAGTTCATACATTTAAAAGCACTATAATGTTGATGAAAATACATATAAATTATATGAAGTAAGGAAGTACCATATTTTTTTTGACAAATAATATTGACACTTTACACAACCCGGTCCATCAATTCATATTTCTTCATGAATTTACTTGCCCGACATCAACTGCAATCCTGATACTATGTGCTTCCCAAGATTAAAAAAAAAACAAATATTAATATTTAATAGGATGACAACTTGACAAATGCTAGACGAATCCTTTTTCTGGAGGGGCATCTTAAATCGAGATCCAGAAGACCATTGAATCCGCACCGCAACTGTAAGTTCATAAGCTCTAACACAAAACCCAGGAGAATTAGTTAACCTCTATTAACATTTCCGAAGCTGCAGTTTGACCCTTTATAAAACAAATAATGCATCTGAAACTTAGTTGTCAACACTTCCCGGTTCTTGCTTTACAGCCTACATGTCGCAAATAGATAATTTGGACATGAACATATGGGTTGGGAAAATGGCAAGCCTGCTGGTGTATACAGAAAAGAGCACATCAATTTTTAAAACAAAGGAAGCATAATATATCCTACCAACATATATAAAACAAAAGTACTTCCACACTGCAACATACTGCATATATCCTACCAACATACTGCGGAAGACCATTGAATCCGCATCACCTGTAAGTTCATAAGCTCTAACACAAAACTCAGGAGAATCAGTTGACTATATTAACATTTCCAAAGCTGTAATCCTGATACAAAATTGTTTAATTCACGCCCAACAATTGAGCTATTGTGCAATTTTGGGTTTGGAACAGTCATTAGTAAATTGGAGGGGGCTCAAACTATTTGCCACACATCCTACATATAAATTCCTAATTATCATAATCCCTCGTCCGGATGGCCCAAAAGAGTTTGCAACTCAACCATCCGAAAGTTCAAGCAATATATGGGTCATCCAACAACTACGTATAATTGCCTACTATATATGTACATTAATTAAGAAAGGAACGCATAATTGCCTACTATATATCTACATTAAGAAAGGAAGGTATATTTGCCTCACAAAACCTTCAGAAACTCCATAAATAAATAAAGCCACGACCTTTGACCAACTACTTTCAGTAACCCATTGGCAAGAATAACTTGAGAACAACCAAATCACAGTAATCTTCCACATCGTTCCACGGCCCAATCAAATCACAGCTGGTATTTTTTTCTCAGTTACCACTTACCATCTTGTCGTAGTTATACCACTACAATTTCTACTTCACAAAACAGTTATAAAATATTAAAGTATGATGCACTGACAAAGAAAGAAGACTCATTCACCAGTAAAGAGCATCGGTCAAGATAACGTACAATGTAGCATACATGAGTTATCTTTGGTTTCTGTAATAGGTTCGAAAAACCCCAACAAAGCTCCAATTATTTGGTAAAGCTTAAAACCAAAATGGGAATGGAAGAACGAAGTAAAAGGATAAACTTTGGTACCTAAAGCTGGGTTTGCCAGCTGCAAGTCTTCCGCATGCAAGACTACTGTATGTTACCCACTTGTGGAATGGGAGAGAAAGCAAGTGAGAATGAAGGGATTGGGATTCCACTTTATTAGGACCAACCCACTAATATGATTCTTCCCGACCCGTCCTAACCTAAAGGGTCAGAAAGAGTCAATAAGAAAATACGAACGGAGAGGATTAGTCATATATCTTGACTCTTCAGAAGTGGGTCAAACAGGATCAAGGTTGGGCGAGGGAAATTTTTAGCGCTAAGCAGAGTTCTGGGTTGAATAACTTTACTTAGGCTTAGAAATTGGTGCTGATGCAGACTGCAGTTTTTATTATACCATCATCAATCATCATTAAATTAGTCCTGGGCATTCCTCCCCGTTGTCGGTCTGAATTCTAATGATAGCTTTCGTTCCTTGCACCAGCCATATTAGCGAGTTGTCATCTCGAGCATGATTTGCCTATGTACAAATGATACAATTAGAGTATGAAACTGAATTCAAAGAAAAGGAAAAGAGATTTCTATCACATGCCAATAAATACACACATAATAGTTGAAGCTAAGTGAAAGTCATTACTCGCACATCAATTCTCAAAAATTACAGACCAAACAATGGCTAGAATGGCACTGAAACTACCAAGAATCATGGACGAAACAACTTGTCAAATTAAATAATCCTTATACTGAAACTACTTTCTAACTTGAAATAAGACATGATCACAGTTCATAGCTCTCTTCTCACTATGAATTGGTTGCAGCTCGTCTTTAACACTGCCTCCCAAGCTCATTTCAAACAGAATAGAGACCGTTATGTAAGATAACCATATTCTTACTGATCATAATTCCTTTCTTCACTCCATTTTTGCCGGAGAAAAGAGTTACCCCCCTCTCCTGCATTTCCCTTTCCCCCTCTCTTCTCCCTCTTCTTCACAAACCGATCCCTAAACCAGCAACAACAACACAAAAATAGCCTTCGCCTCTGCCATCTCCATCTACTGAACGCGTTGGTGGCAAGACAGGACTGCAGAAGCAAAATTTTCTAAAATCAAACTAAATTTTTTGAAGGAGACTCAACCACGAAAAAAGAGTAAAGCAACAATGCTAATAGTTCATATGGTTGGTTTTGATGTGATAAATTGCTTTTGTTCTGGTCTCCAGTATATCAACTGCAACAGAAATGTTTCCTCCAATCATCTTTAGTGCACGATTTAGAAGCAATTCCTCCTGTTTGTGTCAAACGGAAACATTCATGGGTTCTTAACTCCCTTGTTAGTATAAAAGCAGCAGCAACAGCAAAGAAGTTTGACAACACATCAAGTAGGGGTGAACAAATACACCCGCAAACCGACCCACCCGTCCAACCCGACCCAACCCACCCGTATTTATCACTAAAACTAAGGTTTTGGGTTGGGTGAGAGTTTTCTTTTGTACAACCCGCATCTTTTGGCTTGGGTTTGGATTTTGGATTACACAACCCGTCGAACCCGACCCAACCCGTGTTCCAACTATTAGTATGAGTTCGTGTACAAAAAAATATTTATGTCGTATATAGCCATACTTGTAAGAAAATTAAGATATTTTGCCATGTTTTTCTCTCATGGTTTCCCTAATCTAATGCATTCATCGGCTTAAAATTTAGACATAGATTTAATATAGCTATGATTCACGTAATCCTTTTTCTTGTGTACAATTTTAATAGAATAACATATTATGGATGTGTTTGTTTATAATCCATTTAGCCTATTTAAGCAAATATTGTGAAAAAAACTATAGACATATGTTGAAGTAAATTATATTTTATTAAAATTCAAACAACATTTGTGAATTTCGATACCTTTCACCTTGGTTTATTCGTTTGAAATTTTGATTAGTTATAAAAATATTTTTATGGTGTAGAATAATTACATATTTTGTGTTGGGTTGGGTTTTTACTTAAAAATATCGCCAACCCGACCCAACCCAATTGAAAAAAAACCGTAGGGTTTTGATTTTTTTGGTTGGGTTTGGGTTTAATATTTTCCAAACCGTAGTGTTTGGGTCGGGTGATTAAAATGGCTAAACCCGGACCACCCGACCCATGTACACCCCTAACATCAAGCACCCAGGGAAAATGATACAATGCAGTAGGTGATATGTGTCTCGAAGGTTTTGAGTTACTAAAGTTCATGTTAAAAATAAACATGAATTAAAATATATTATTCTATTAAGCAAACATCCCCTCTAATCATACAAAGATCAGATATCCAATTCACAAACAATTAAGCCATAAAAAATCATCACACATCCACCACCTTTGATTGCCTAAATTTGGTTTTTCGCAAAGTTATGGACCCTTAAGGGTAACGTTCATGGGTAGTCTGTTTCATAACTCTAGAGAGCACAGTAAGCAACCACCAGCCAGACACAGTGCGGTAGGCCAATATGATTCTCAATTCACAATTTCTCACCACCGGAAGTAAGAACAGACCATAATAAGCGTCGCGTTCATGGGTGGTCTGTTTCATAGCACTACTACACAATTTGTTAAAAAAGAAAGAAAGGTATTTAGCATCACGACTGAACAACTTTTACAGGCCAACAACGACAACATGCTGCAACCACCAGAACTGGTATCACAACTCATAGGGAAAATCAAAAGATTTACTCTCAAATTAAGCAGTTACAACATCGAGCAATCGTCAAGCACATACACCATCACAAAAGTCACGAAAACTGATTCACAATGCATTCAAACATTTGAGGACATTTCTGCAAAGGTACAACTTATATGTCTTTTTTCCAAGCCATTTCCATCAACATGCTAATAAATTTGCAATGCATAAAACAAACGGGCCAAAACTTGAAATTCAGCCTGTTTGACCGACCCATGCCAAATTCTAATTATTCTTTACTTTTAAACTTTATATTTGAAAATAAAAAATAGTGAAAGAAAAGAGACGACTACAATTCGCCATTTGCACATCACTTATTCGGGAATAAAACCATAGAAATTCAAAAGGAACTGAAAATATTTAGGATCGTTTTAATGTTTAAAATAACTAAATAGATCTTTTATGTTTAGTTTTTTACTAACAAATACCAAACGACTCCCTATAAAATACACTATAATTTGATCATTATGATATCAAATAATTATAAAATATATATTTGAAATGATAAAAATTAGACTAATTGGGTTGGTCGAGGTTGAACCATGGAATAACTCTAAAATACATTATATTTTAGCCAATAAGATATAGAATAATAGCATAATATATATTATGCCAGAGAAAATAGCTTGTTTTAGAATGACAAACCAATGATGTTCATTTGTTTCACTTGATGGCCAAATCCCATGTAGGTCAGGCCCATTCAACTCTTTTATTTTATGGTTAGCGATTAGCTCATTAGATACCATGCATTCAACTCCTTTTCATATATATTTTATCACAACAGAGAAATAAAAGGGCTTAAAGAAAAAAATTGACACTCCTGGGCCCGTTTAAATTCGCATGTATACTGTAAGTTGGCCCGTTCCACAGAGGAAAGAGAAAAAAATTGACACTCCCTATTCTACCTTTCCTATAAACGCTCCTCGAGCAGAGAATTTGAAATGGAGAAAGGGTTTTTTCCTCCCTGCTATTATATGTTTTTAATTTAGAAAGATACAACAAATGTACTTAGTGTGATTGGTTGTGATCTTAGCTTTTCTTTAAAATGGTCTTGGTTCGAATCCCAGTACGTGTCTTTTAATGAATAAAAAAAGTAATTGTGAAGACTAAAATGTCCTTCTCGTTGCAGGAAATTTGAAATGGGGCTCCCGTTTTTACCTTCGGCGTATTATATTATGTGTAGATAGTATTGTTTGCCAACAAAGATGACAACACATACAGATCTCGAATTGAAGCAACACTTGAGTTCCGGGACGTACACTATCAAAATAAACTACCAATCTAATTAGTCAAACAAATACAATTGCAAACATTGATCTTAAAATTACATCGACTCATGTGAATGTTGTCCTGAGTCCTGACTTGACTATATATAGCAGATCTCGAAGAAGTTGGATGGACAATCACTTGCATACAAGACCATATGATATTTGTTTATAGAAATGTAATCGGTGTACTTAATTAGTCACATGTTCAAGTTCACCATAGTCAACCAAGGATAGGGCTGTATTGATGGACGGTTGTGGTTTCTAACGGGTTCAACCGCCTGGTCTGGTTTGATTTTGATAACTAACCAATCTAGAAAGAGACAGGAGAGAGAGAGAGGGAGAGAGAGAGGAAGGAGAGGGGAGGGGCCAAGCCCAAAGCAAAGCACTGGGTGGGAGGAAAAGAACAGAAGGAGAGAGAGACAGACAGATAGAAGAGAAAGAAAACAGGAGAAATTCTAGAGAGAGGCAGAGAGAGATCTTGAAGGTGGGCAGAAGTTATCGGGTTTTTAAAAAAAAAGATGTCGGACCAAGAGATATCCCAAGCTCTCCACTCCCTCCTCCACGACTATTCCACTTCCCAGTCCCAATCCTCCGCCGCCCCTCTCACCTCCATGACCGCCGTCGTCCACCACCTCGAGTCCAAACTCGGCGTCGACCTCTCCCCCAAGGTCGACTTCATCCGATCTCAGCTTCAGCAGTTCCTCTTCCAGCCACCGCCGCCGCAGCAGCAGCCGCCGCCGCAGCACCACCACCAGCAGCAACCCTTTCCTCCTCCGCAATCTTACAAAGACCGTTATGCCCCCCACCAAACCCCCAACTTCCTGCTCTCTTCCGGCTACCATCCGCCGCACCAAACCCCCAATTTCTTGCTCTCTCCGGGCTACCCTTCTTCTCATTCTCACCCGCAGCAGCAGCAGCAGCAGCAGCAGCCGCAGCACCACCACCAGCAGCAATTTCCTCCTCCGCCCTCTTACAAAGACCATTATGCCCCTAACCAAACCCCTAACTTTCTCCTCTCCTCCGGCTACTCTCCTTCTCCCTCCCCTGGCTCCGTCCTCTCTCCTCGCGCCGTCAGGCTGGAGTCCTCTGCACCTGCTGCTGCTCCTCCCCTTGAGTCTCCCAAGGAGAGGTAACGCTTATCTATCTCCCCTTCTCCATTTCGCAGTGCTTTGGTTGTTCGGAAAGGGGAAATGTGATATCCCTTTTGTAAACCCTTCAACATTTCAATTTTTTTGGTTGCTAAGGATTATCTGGTTTCTGGGGAGTTGAGGGGAGCGGGAAAGCACAAATCTTTAGCATCCCATTTCGCTTGCGATTGGGTTAGATCAATGATTGTAGAAAAAAGATGATGCTTTCTGAACCCTGGACTAATGAATTGAATGTAAAGCAGATATACTGTTTGCTCCATTGAGGTTGTGCGTTCTGGTCAGGGCAGCCTCATTTTGGTATAACGAGCTGTTGCTAACTGCTGGTTGAATGCTGCTCTTCTCATTTGCAGTAGTAAGGGTAAGAGGAAAGGCGGTGCAGGTGGGTTGAACAAGCTCTGCGGCGTCTCACCGGAGCTTCAAGTTGTAGTCGGCCATCCTGCTCTTCCCAGGACTGAGGTTCTTTTTTGTTTGTTTGTTTCTTGTACCTTACTTTGCGTTCTTTGAGCTAGCATGGCAACATAGCTGACCGAGGAGTTGTGAATGTTGTGATTTCCGAATCTATGTTTCCAGATTGTTAAGCAGTTATGGGTATATATAAGAAAGCACAACCTCCAAGACCCGAGCAACAAAAGGAAGATTATCTGCGATGATGCACTGCGTGTGGTGTTTGAGACCGACTGTACTGATATGTTCAAGATGAACAAGTTGCTCTCTAAACATATCCTTCGTCTTGATCCCGCGAGTGAGTGATGTCTTGATTACTGTGTGGAGGTTCTCTGTTGGGGGGTTTGTAATGATGTCAAGCTTATGTTATTGTTGTTTTGATGTTACAGAAGAGGCTAGTGCTAAGAAGCAAAAAGTAGAGGATGATGAAGAACTGGAATCTGAAAGCACACAGGCTCCTCCTGCTCTTGCTGTTTCCCCTGCCCCTGCTCCTTCTGCAGCGATAGAGGATGAAGAAAAGGAGTCTCAAGACACACAGGATGCTCCTGCTCCAGCTCCTGCTCCTTCTGTGGGGATATCTGAAGAACTTGCGAACTTTTTCGGTGTTGGGGAGAGGGTGATGCTCCAGTCGGAGCTTTTCACTCGCCTTTGGGAATACATCAATGCAAATAATTTGGAGGTATAAAACGACTATTTGAGCTTCATCTGATGATTGGACAACGAGGTTGTTTATTTTTATTCTTAACTGGCTATAATTTGCTCTTTGTAGGATCTTGTTAACCCAACAGTGATTGTATGCGACTCGAAGCTTCAAGAGCTCTTTGGTTGTCAAAGTTTCCCAGCTGCAAAGCTAATGGAGGTTCTAGCCCGCCAGCATATATTTAGGGCTTAATTATGTGCGAATGGCTGTTTGCTTGCTGCTAACTTAATGGCTGGTTAGTTGATGGTAGTCTAGATATTAATGATCAGACACTCCCTTCACCTTCCTTAACCACGGCGACTGACGGTTAACCTTCTGTGGATATAGTTAGCTGTTTATTCATCCCTTTGCAAAGATGGAAATACTAATCTGAAGCTTGGGAGGATATCTCCTCTCATCTTACTGTTGTTATTTGGGTTTCTTTGATCATGCAAGGCAGTTGGCTGGCAGATGATTTGTATCTAGGTAGTTTCTTTTGTCTTGTTGGAGCCTGCTGCTATGACTCCTTGCTTTTGTTCGTTTGTGGATTGAGAATGTCAACTCTAGCTAGATGTTTTACTCAAAACTAATGTACTTTAATCTCAGCAAAACAGTTATTCGTGGTAGTGTTGTATGCTATTGGCTTTTGCTCTCTGTGAGTGCCTGTTCTCCTCCTGTATTTCATCCCGCAATGCTCTTCGTCTCTACAACAAAATCATATATTACTACAGAGTCCGACTCAGAGTGACGAGCCTGAGCCACTGACCATGCCCCTTCAGCCTGTGTCCATGTTCTGTAGGCTGTAGATAACCTCAATAGGTTGTCGAAAAGGATCCTCTTACCATGTGTGTGAGGTATCCGAGGAGCTTAGTGTTTCGGCTCGCTTTGTCGGGTCACCAATTTATAAATCTTAATCTAGTTGCTTATGCTTTATTTTTATAACATTCTATCTCACGGGAACTGTTTAGTTTAATGTTGTTCATCCTTCCCGTGACTCCCTGCAACAAACTGGTGAGCACATGACACAAGTACTAATATTCCATTTGGCTTCAATTAAACAAAACTCAAGGGGTAACCAAACTGCAACCCTTTTTGCCTGCTTTGTATAAATTACAGAGCCTACACTCCTCAAAACCCTACATCAGGAAGCAGGACTATGGCCGACCTCAAAGCTCTTGCGCTCTTTTTTGTGCTTGTAGTAGTGCTAGCACTGCCTGCAGCTACTGCGATAGATGGAGGCTCAGGTGGTGGTAGTTCAGCCGCCGTCAGGCTAAACAGTGATTGCCGGGTTGATCCGTCCCAGCTCATCATCTGCCGCCCTGCTGTCACCGGAGAATCACCCCCGCGCCCCACATACGACTGCTGCAAGATGATCAAACGCGCCAACTTGCCATGCCTATGCATGTTCAAGGATTTCCTCCCAGCATTTGGAATCGATCCCGCTCGTGCCCTTGCTTTGCCTGAGAAATGTGGCCTTAAGACTCCACCAGAATGCAAATGTAAGTTCCTCTGCCACTGCATTTTTTGTTGATTTGGAGTCTCCTTTTTCACAGCTATGTGGAGCTGCAACTTATGATTCTGTAAACTCACGTTTGAAATGGCATTTTGGTGGTTGCAGCGCCTTGAATGAAGATGTCTACGAGTAAGGAGACTTGGACTAATTCAGGGACCTGGGATGCAGCTTTGGGAATGATCCTTTCTGTGACTTGGTTTTAGTAGTCTGAACTTTGTTCTTGTACTTTGATGATTTCTGAAACAATGTATTGCTTTAATGAAGGAAGCTCCATTTTTCACAAAAAATGATTGTTGAGAGTTCTCTTAAATAATTTACATTCAGATCGAAATAGTAGCTTCCACCATCAAAACAACCAAAACTTGAACATTACTACATTCCTTCCATTCCATACACAATCTCTACTATACTCGACATCTGCATTTAGTGTTTTGTACATGCATAGTCTAGGCACCAACTCAAATAAACACACCCCTTTCTCCCCTAACCTTAGGCTGCCTTGAGGCGATTCTGGTATTCTTCGATGAAGAAATGGTTGAGACTTTAGCGAGAGAGAGAGAAAGAGCAGTAGTGGCGGTAGAAACTCAGCATTCTGATCGGCTGTGCCGAGGGCCACCAAAAATGGGTCTCATGTAGGCATTATCAAACCTCCTCCAGTAGTGATGGATGGTGTAGACCGGCCTGTCCATCAACAAGGAGAAACTCTCCCTTGCGATTTGCATGTTAGCAGATGCAGATTCGTCAAAGGACAGCAAAGGAAGGACCACATCGTCTTTTGGGGACCTTGGTTGTTCTCCTCCACTCCCACCCCCACGATTGTTCTGGTTTCTCATTCGGTGTGTGATTAGGTAATTTACCAGGGGCTTCGTCAAGAAACCAAATACCTGCCAGTAATGACAATGCAACAGTCCATTGTTTCACTTCAGAGTCTGGTGAGGAAAGACAGTAAAACCATAAAAGGAAGGGGTTTTGCTGTTTACCAATGTAGTAAAGAGAACGACTATGATGGTGTTGGTGATCATTGTTGCGTTGATAGGATCCAACGTGACGCCAGAATAGGTGAACTGCATGCACAGCCAAAGAACATATGCTATTATATGCTAATCATAACAATCATTGACAACAACAATCAACCAGCTCGACAACGGGATGTACCTGTTTGAAAGCAAGAGCGATAGAGACAGCACCTCTCATTAGGCCAGCCCACCAAATAACAGTCTGCACAAGAAATGAAAGTACCCAAGTAAAGGGAAAAAGTTATTTTAGGAATTGAATGTGTTTCAATCGACCCCACATCGCAATTTAGCAGCAAAGAAAGAAAAAACCCGACTTGCTGTTTGAAGGTAAGCGGGGATGTTTTGCGTCTGTTCATGAAGTTGGAAAATGCAGAGAGTGGAAACACGAATACAGCACGCCCCACCAATATCAGAAACACTATTGAGCTATAGATCCCAAGGGAAGTCCCTAAGCTGTCAACCATGAGTAATTTTCTGTTACCTCTGGCAAAATTGATATCAAGCTGATAAACATATGCAAATAACTTCTGAAGGAAGCTGTACCTCAATTTAGTCATCTTCCACTTCTCGATGTCAAAAGCATCCATGCCCACATAGAGAAATATGAACGTCTCGGCGACAAAGGACAACATGGCGAAAACATGTCTGCATAAAAGTACCAAGGTAAGTTCATATAGAAATGCCAAAAGGATTGTAGTGATTGATTCGACTCTTCCTGATGTGATACATGCCTGGCTGTGATCCTGGAACTTTCTGTCACATTGTGCCAAGAATAATGCGACATGATGATTCCACAAAAGAAAACAGTGAGAATCCCGCTTAGTTCAAGCAGCTGCAGAATCCAAAAGAGTGTTAATGTTGCTCCATTCATCAAACCCGCAGCATGAACAATGCTAGTGAGTACTGGATTTAAGTAAAGCAAAAGTACCTCGGCGAGCATGTAAGATAGATAAGCCATTAATACCATCATGGCGAGTTCACGTATGCTTGAGTGTCTGTTTTCAAACGACAAAACTTGTGTTAGGATTTTTGAAACCAGTTTGGTCATTGCAATTTTTTTAGGCAATAAAAAGTTAGACAGTAGTTCCCACTCATGTGTTCTAACTACCTTTCCGAGCAAGAGGTACTTACTTCCCAAAGTAGAGTGTTTTCAGCACAAGTGAAGTGAGGAGGCCAACCTAAACAAGAGAAATTGGGGTGAGACAGGCCTTTGCCTATATAAATATAGCTCGATGAGAAAAACACGTTCAATTCGGCGAACACTCACACCGATTCCAAGAGCAGTGCTGGTGGAGAACAAGTAGAGGAAATCTCCAATGACACTGAGTATTGTTTGGGAGTTGATCTTGCTGACATCCATCTTCTGAACAGCATTGAACAAAACAACTGATGTTGCATCGTTTACTACTCCTTCCCCAAACACTATGCTGTAGAGCAAAGGTGTTTCATCTTGGTGAAGAACCTACAGGAACATTGCAAGAGCATCAAAAGAAGAAGCTTTGGCAGTGCCAAAAGCATCAAGGGACAAGAGAAGAACCGGTTCTCTTCGATCCTTGCGTACCTGCAGGGTGCACACTGTATCGGTCGACGAAAATATAGTTCCTATAGCTGAACTCGACAAGCGGCCACAAAAAAAGAAGGATCATTTCAATGACTCAGTACAAGGTGCACAGTAGAATCATATGAAAAATGAATGGAAAACAGGAATGTTCACCGAGGTAGTCTCGCGGCGCTAGACCGAGGAATCCAAGTTTAGGAAACAGCCACCAGCTGCCTAGGGAAAGAACATTAACATTTGAAACCACATATAGCACACTAATCAGTCATCACTAAATCAATCAAGAACAGAGAAAGCAAATGTGTGAAAGCCTGAAAGGGATGTTTTACCTAGGGATATAATGACTGTTGAGATGAAAACCCCAACAATCCCAAACAGCATAATGGTTATGAAGTTCTGAAAGAACTGCTTCTTCTTAACCTGAAATCTGCTCATCACCATATACACACAAAGAAAAGCACGCAACTTTCTTGAGACTGAATCCAAAATGTCCATCTCCAAAGCATAGCAAAGAGTATTGAAAAAAACCCCACTTACCCGGCATTGAAGATGATGGGGGGAAGGAGGTAAATGAAGAAGAGCTCCTCACTGAACCTCAAAAGGTGAGAACTTTGCCCCTTCCGCAAGACCAAGATCAGGATTCCAGTTAAGCCTCCCTGCCCTCGTCCACAAATTTTAATCACAATCGTTAATTCACACGTCAATCAGCTCAATAAAAGGGTTCAGATAGGAAAGATGGAAAAGAAAGAGAGGAATGCTGACAATGAAGATGGCGGTGATGGACTCGTTAACCCAACGATTCTCTTCGAGCAAATGGCCAATGACCAAGCAGAGGCACAGCACTGCCACAAAAATCGTAATGGGGACAACCTGGGGGTGCTCAGGAGACACATTTTCGCCAACCGTCTCGTACGATAATAAGCTCAACATCACTTCTCTTTGGTAATTATCACGGGCCGATGTTTCGATTTCCAGTTACTCTCTGTGTATTATAACCGAGTCTGCAATTGGCTTTTGACGAAAAGCTTTCCAATGGCTATGAGGATCGAAATGATGGCAGCTCGAAAGGAAGAAGACGAGAGATATCGGAAAAAGAGTGTGAGAAAGACAGTGGAGTGAGTTACGAGCCAGAGCTCGGTGGCCGGAAGAGAGACAGCGAGATACTCGATCGTCGACTGGAGGTTGCTGGCGGCATGTTCCGACACGTGGCGAAGCTTTGCATGTTAATGGGGACACGTTACACAAGAGCCAGAGTTTCTGATTTGAGGCTGGAGCATCCTCTATCTATCCGACCCTCATTCCCATGCATGCTGCTTTTCCTCCCTTCCAAACAGGTACAATTTTGCTGATATCATCATGGTTTACCAAAACGATGGTGACATCGAGTTGGATAAGAAATCAATGCTGGATAACAAGAAGGATCATGGCGGCTCCACACCGTAACAAAGATAAGAGCTTTCGAATCTACCGAGAAATCCAGAATTGTTGGCCATTAGAATCTAGATCAGTAAATGTCTGGAGAATTCTTGGAATCGGAGGAATGTTCACTTCCAAAATCTTCTCAAGAACATACACGACCTGGCTCATTGTCAGCCTGTGACTTTCGTCACCCTGGATGCACCATAGAGCAACTCTGCAAACTCTTCCCACCTCTTCAATATCAGCATTCCCATTCAATCTAGGGTCCAATAGATCTAGCACGTTCCCGCCTTCATTTACAACAGTTGCTACCCAAGTTGGAAAGTAATGACCTGTCCTTGTAATGTGTGAGTTTCTCCTTCCTGATACTAGCTCAAAAAGCATCATCCCGTAGCTGTAAACATCAGCCTTGGCTGTAATGGCCTCCCCTGAAAGCCACTCAGGTGCTAGGTATCCTATTGTTCCCCTAAATGTTGTTAGAACCCTGCTGAAGTCCCTACCGAAGAGTTTTGCCATGCCGAAATCCGCCACTTTGGGTTTGAATTCAGAGTCCAGAAGTATGTTATCTGGCTTGATGTCACAGTGAATTATGCATTTCCTGCACTTCTCATGTAGATAAGCTAACCCTCTGGCTGTTCCTAGTGCGATGTTGTACCGTGTCTTCCAATCTAAAGTCTTCGAATCTTCTCCCGTGAACAGATGGGAAGCTAACGAACCATTGGGCATATAGTCATAGACTAAAAGCATCCTAGTAGGATCACAAGCGAACCCTCTCAAACCAACCAGATTGATATGTTGGATTGTACCAAGGGTCCTGACTTCTGCAAGGAATTGCTTGTGCATGTCACCTTGGCTGAAGCTGACGCCGTCCAGCTTCTTCACTGCTACAACACTGGAATCAGGCAGTGTCCCTTTGTAAACAGAACCAAACCCTCCTTCTCCCAACTTCTCCGTGAAATTCCTTGTAGCAATCTTTAACTCTTTCTGGGTAAAAGCAACTGAAGACCCTTCCATTACCTTTCCAGGTTCAGCCTTTTGCTTCTTTCTCAATCTAACGATTACTACAGATACAGTAATTGCCAACAACACAATCACTGAACCCACCACGCAACCAATGATAACCCTTTTCTTCTTCTCCGAACTTGGGAATTTAGAATCGGAACCTGCAAGTTTAATGAAGATCGTTTGCCCACCTGGGACATCCTGCTGCAAATTCATGAGAACCCCATACCAAGTGAAGCATTGGTCTCCACTGTGGGAATAAGCTGTACAGCTACAAGATCTCAAACAAGCCGCCTCGCAATCCTTTGGACTTCCAGCAACTGTCGTCTCAGGTTTATCAGGTAATTTCACATTGTGATTTGGCAAGAACCAATCAGGTTTCCTGCACTGAAGAGGCGAGCTTCTATAGCAGCCACGGTAAAAGACCTCAGAACTGTACTCAACCTGAGATAAGGGAACAATAACCATCGACTTGACATTGGGATCTAGGATGCGACCAAACTAATAGCCATTGCTTGGTGGATTCCTGCCAGGCGAGCAGCTGAATCTTCCCACGTACATCCACAACATACCGTGAGAACAAAGAGCCATTGTACCCGGACTCGTACAGCTGCTTAATCAAGGCATTAGGTTCCTCCACAAGTTGAGCCAGCTGGGAGATGTTGTACTGAGAGTAGGTTAAATAGCTCTCATTCCTATTATCCACATAAGAAAGGCTCATGAGCTTCAATTTCATCTCCGAAATGGAGCTGGAAACACGCCCAGAGAAAGATTCGCTCGCCCGAAAAGCCGTGTACATGTTCCGGAGCTCGAGTGACCGGTTTGGCCCCAGCTTGAGTGAGAAGGGGCCTGTAGCAGGGTCGTCTCTGTTTCGCCACGAGGTCAGAGAGATATCTTGCTCCTTAACCTTGTTGAACCCAATCTTGCCACCGGGGATCCAGGTATCTCCAGGGTGATCAAAGCTTTGCCAAAGCGATTGATTTGGGGAAATTGGAGAAGACCCATTTGACGTTAGGACGAGATTTCCATCATCCAGAAGCACAGCTTCTGCGTAGCGGAAATTCCTGTCCACCATACCGGTGGACCAAATTTCTCGATTTGAGCCGTCGTGTAGAGCCAGGTATCCGTAATCGGTAATCTTGAGCTCGGCAGAGAACCTGTCGGGAAGAGGGGAGTAACTGTTTCTGTTTGCTACCCAAACTACCGTCCTTGGAGAAACTTGCTTGTACCAAATCCCTACGCAGTAATTTCCTGATTTCCCAGGCTTGAAGAAACCCAATTCGAAGACTCCTCCTGCCGAGACGATCGTTTGGTCGCCGGAAAGTGAACGGGTTGGAGTGATTCGATCCGCTCCATCGCAGCGGAGAAGTTTGAGACAGAGGGAACTGAGGATTAGAAGAGAGAGCTTGAACAAGATGGTTTCCATTTGGTAAGCGGCGGGAGAAAACTTGGGTAGTGCTGGTCTAAGGACGAAGGATTTATCGCAAATTTGGCCGCGACTAGTCCAAGTACTGCTCTCTGTCATTCAAGAAGCAAAAATGGCCATGTTAAGTGCGAAAGTTCGTGGTCTAGAGTGTAGACGCTCGAGCGAGCAAGGGACTTGATTCTAGAACGGAAGCAACCGCGATTGGCCGGTCTTTCGTTGTCTGTCTCAATCAACTAGGGGGCAAAAAAAGCAAAAAGCGTAGAAAGTTGAAATACTAATTACTGGTACGAAAAGTCAAACGGACAAGCTTCAGAGTGTCAACTCCTAATTTGTTAAGATGGTGTTAATAGCACCTTCAGTCAACATTTGGTTTTGATAAACTTTTTACTTTTAAAAGGTTGACTACAATGATGATTTATAAAATGAATCGTTATTTTCCGCCCGTACTTTTACTATTTGCCGCTCGTAGTTACAAAAAATATGACGAATTTGCCCCTTCTCTAATTTAAACCCTAAACTTATCTATCCCCAACCCTCCCTCCCAAACATGACCGTCGGCTACCTGTAAAATCTCCGCCGCCGGCAACCATAAACAACCTCCACCGCCAGCCACCCTAACCGCCAGCCACCACCTCCGCTGCCCGTCACCTTCTCACTCCCTCCCTCCCAAAACCACAGCCGTTGTTCCCCTCCCCTCCTCTCCCTCACCTCACGACAGAGATGGGTAGGCCGACGCTTGCAATCCGACGTTCGTAGAAGCTCGGTCCGCCGTCAGAATTCGGACGGGTCCGCTGCCGGAGTTCGGACGGGGTCCGCCGGCAAGAGTCGGACGGGGTTAATTTTTTTTTTTGGTAATACGGATGAATTTTTCTTTAATATTATTTAAGATTGTTATCAATTGGAAACAGAAAAATGGATTATGATAATAATTGATAACAAAATCAATCTTTCCTTAATTACACGTCTAAGCCCATAATAAGTGATATTTTTTATTATTAATTATTTTCCTCTTTGATTGCTACCAAGGTTGTCAAACCGCGGGTTGACCCGGACCCGGTCGAGCTAGTGGGTCAAGGGTTAATGGGTCAACCGTTTTAGCCCGGTTTGGCCCGTAAATATAGAAAAAGTCATTATATTGTACTTATCCTCATAAATTATATCAAATCTTATCTAGCATATGACTTATAACGTATAATATTACACCAAAATAACATTTCGTACTTAGATCCAACATATAGTGAAAGTTCACACACACTTATATAACATAAATATTCAAATGTTCAACTTAGGATTCCAAAGATTGAGTTAGGCGAAAAGAAAAATCGTAAAATAGACGCATCTCGCAAACCAAAGAAAAAAATGACACAATTTGACCTCCAACCCGGTACCTTGTAGCGGTCGGCTCGGCGGGTGCGTATGACCCGTTTTTTTCACTGGGTCAGGGTCAAAATGGGTCGACCCGTGACAACCTTGATTGCTACCAACGGAATTAGGGGAACCAAAATTTAATAATTAATTACCTATTTTAATAGTAGTAGGTGATTTTAGTTTAGTCACTTAAGGTAATTTTTTTTATTTTTTGCGGAACGGATCCAAAAAATAACGGATCCAAAAAGAAGAGTTTGACCCGGATTAGGATTTGATTTAATTGATATTAAATAATTATTTGGGTTTGATTGATCGAAGAGTCATTTGGGGCAGAAATAAAGGAGTTTGTTGAATTAAATAATTATAAAACAATAATAATCATTTAATAATACCAAAGAATTTTTTCCACCTCCGTGTACTTGATTGACAACCGAAAGTAAGTTGTTATTAATTATTTCCATTTTTTTGGTAAAATTATTAATTATTTCCAAAATCAAACCGAAAATCTATTTCTCTAATTAACAACCGAGAATCCATTTGGCTAATTAAGTCCTTAATTTTGTTTTATATTTTATTTTGTGGTAATTGACATATATGGATTCCTCTTTTGCAATAATCGTTTGTAAAATATTATTTTTTTATTTAGCAATTAAATAATTTCTTTTAATGAAAATGCTTAAATAATTGTAAATTTTCATAATTAGTTTTTACAATGGTAATTAATAGATGAGATCCAATCGTCTGGCACTATTCATCGTTTTTGACCAAATTCACCATTAACTGCTGATTTCCCGTAGCTACCATTTAATTAGTTGATTTTTTATATTAAATAACTATAACTCTCACGCATGGTTGTCATGCCGGTGAATCTGGTTCAACCTGTACCGGTCATAAAACCGGCATGACACCATCGGTATGACCGGTATGATCGACTTACGCATTCTAAGTAAAATGACATCATTTTAATGAATTTAATGAATAAAAAATTAGTTTATTATTCATTTTATGAATGTAATAGTTAAAAGTTGATGATATTTGTTGTATTGTAACTAAATTGTCAACAAATATGTTTTATATATAATTAAATACATTGGATATTAATTGTTTTCACATTTTTTTAAACCGGCATGAACCGACACACACTGGTTATACCACCGGTCGAATCGTTCCACTTGCCAAACCAACACAACGATATAAACCGATTTGACAACCTTGCTCTCACGTCATTCTCTCACCATATCGGAATCCGAATTCCGAAAATTACTCCTTAACCCACTCCAAGTTTATTTCCCACGTCGTTACCAATAAAAATGGCAGTTACCAATGTTTATCACTTATTACGTTAAACTAATTAATTGAATAGACAATAGACTAAAATGAATTAAATAAATAGAAAAAAAAACCAAACTCTCCGTAGCAGCCTTAGGGCTTGTTTATTTTCATTTCTGTTTCCTGTTTTTGAGAAAACAGATGTTGAAAACAGGTGAAAACAACATTTTGTCGTTTCCGAAAACAGCAGGAAGTTGCCACTTTCTGTTTTCATAGTTGGAAACGAATAGAAAACAGAATGAAAAGTAAACAAGTTTTCTCATTTCGGTTGCCAAATTTATCACATGAAAACAGAAAACTGGAAACGAAAATGGAAGTGAACTGGGCCTAGGTTGCCGCCGTTGGGAGGGAAATCGTTGCCGCCGTCGAGGAAGGACCTCGTCGTCAAAATCAGCCTTCTTTCCCCCCCCCCCCCCTTTTTTACTCCGTCCGCCATAAAAAAAATACAACGGGTCCGCCGCCCGTCGTCGGACGTGGTCCGCCGGCCAACGTCGGACGGGGTCCTCCCGCCGGCGTCGGACGGTTTCGGCCCGCAAATGGTAGAGTGGCGGCGACAGGTGTGGTGGTCTGGCGGCGGCAACAGTGGTCTGGCAGCGGCGCGGCGGTCAAACGACGGCGGAGGTTGTCTCATTCGATGGCTCCGGCGATGGTGGTTTAACGGCGGTGGTGGTCGGCCGGCGGTGAGCTCTGGTGGTGGTGGTCTGCCGACGATGGTGGTATGGTGATAGTGGTGATGGAAGGAGTGTTGATAGGGGCAAAAAAGTCATTTTAACTTAATACACGGACGGTAAATAGTAATGACACGGGCGACAAATAGTAACCCTCTTTATAAAGAGGGGAACGGATCAGGTCAGTAATCTTATGGTGAGTAACCATGAGTAACCAGCCCACATCAGCATGACATCAGCATCCTCTCTCTCCTGGAAAGCCTTTAATTTTCCCCTCTTTAATATTTGACGGACGATTTCTGACTCATTTTAAGTCGAAATTTAATTTTTTTTGTACAGTTAGATCAGATTAATTGTGCTCTTCAAAATGATATCCACTTTAATATATTTTTCGAACAAAAAAATTGAGCCATTTTTTACCAGTCTATACCATATGGTATTGACTGGTATTGAAATAAATTCATACCTATGGTTTGAAAAACGTACCATGGTGGTATGAACAAACCAAGATTGTAGGATGGTTGAATACATGATAGTATAAGTATATTAATTGTCATTTACGACTTTTAACATTGTATACCACACAATACCACCCCGTACCAGGGTGGTATTGTATGATATTGTGTGGTATTTTTTGGTCCTGTAATTTGTTCACCCTGAAATTTGTAGATCCAATAGATCATGATGAACTCGTCCCTTCTGTGCAAACTTTTTTCAAAAACGAATTAAAAACGAAGAAGATACCATATGGTATGCAGTTGGTACCGAGAGGCCAGAATATTTTTTTCTAAAAAAATATTGAAAATTGTTCTCATTTGGTACAGCACGATGAACTCGTTCCATCTGTGCAAAAAAAATTAAAATCCGAGTTAAAACGAAAAAGATATGAGCCGATTAAGAAAGCTAGGAAACATAAAAATGGTCCTTAATTTTCCATCCTTAGATCTGGATTTTCTAAATGAAGGGTCCAGATTTGGTTATTGATGGATGCATAACCCATGGTTATGCAGCCTATCTTGAGCCTATAAAGAGAGGGTTCAACTTTGACATCTTTAAAAATTATAGGAGACACACATGTGAGTCCTCCGTCGCTATAAGTATCATGAAGCATACCACAAAATACATTTTGAAAGCAACAAAATACATTTTGAAAGCAACAAAATACACCATAAATAATATAAAGTAGACCAGAAAGTTTATAAAACAAATCAGAACACTACTACACCACAAAATTCATAAAGTATACTGAAAAATTCAAAGCCGACTCTAAATTTCTTAAAGCAGACCAAAAACCTCATAAAATAGATCATGATTGAATGAATCCCCCGCATAATAAACTAATGGACAGTTTAGTTGAGATTGTTACAATGCGTATAATGTTCAAAATGCATCTTATTTTTTATTTTTTCTATACAAACAATAGAGAACATTATTTGTTTGATATTACATAGGCTTAATACACTTGTATAGCCATAAATGTGCACTTTGTGACAATAATAACCAAATTTTGAAAAATACACAAATATAGTCATTCTCGATCCCTTGTCTCTCCCGAAAACGCCTGAACTTTTGGTTTTCCATTTGGCTTGTGCTGAAGCTTGGCGGGTTGTAGATTCCAATACATTCGGGTAATTAGGGGTTAATTGCATGAATGGTCACTAAGATTACAAAAAAACATTCAAATTTGGTCACTCGAAATATTTAAATTCATTGGCGGTACTTCACTTTACTGAAACTGTTCAGATTTGGTCACTCTCCGTCCAACGCTGTTAACTTTTACTTACGTGGCGGTCAACTCTAAAAGTTGAC